GACGCCGTCCTCGACCAGCACCCGGGCCTCCTCGAGTCGTCCGTCTCGATCGAGAACCCGGACACGTTCTTCGGGGAGCTCGACTACTGGTGCAGCGACGCCGTCCTCGGGGCCATCGACGGCGGCGACGACCTGCCGCCGCTCCGGGCGCTCTACGAGCGCGGCGAGGTCCTCGTCCCGGGCGGCGCGGACGAGCCCAAGACGGAGAAGGCGCCCTACGGCCGGTGACGGGCCAGCGCACCACCGTAACTAAGTTAGCTGTGAGAAGATGGCCTCCCATAATCGGCCGACGTCGGCGCGTCCCGTCTACGCCGCGGCCTTTGTGTCGAGCATCTCGAGCGCCTTGATGCCCATGAGATCCGTCAGCTTGCACGCCTCGTAGTAGTCCGCGTCCGGCACGTCCGCGAGCGTCTTGTCGCCGCCGCAGACGGCCTGGAACATGGACACGCCGACGCAGGAGCAGTTGAACTCTCCGACGACGTACTCCGTCTCCATGTCGCACGCGTTCTCCGTCTTCGACCAGCCCTCGGGGTTCTTCGGGATGTAGTCGCACGTCCAGAGCAGCGGGAGCGCCTCGCCCTTGAGGTCGAGGACGTCCATCAGGCCGTTCTTGATGTCCGTCGTCAGCTTCGTCAGGAGATCCGCGTAGAGCGGGTCCGACGGCTCGTAGTACGTGTACGCCGAGTTGCCGCCGACCGCCGACAGGCCGCCCTCGGGCTTCTTGTGGATGATCATCTGGCACGTGTCGCCCGCCATGAGCACGCGGACCTCGCCCTCGGAGATGCGGGGCAGGAGCCGCTGGTCGACGAGCTGGCCGCCGGCCGCCGCGCCGCCCTTGAGGTACTCGCCCGGGAACGTCGACGTCCACGTGCCGGCGCCGGCGCCGCTCGGGCCGTCGACGCAGAACACGAGGAACTCCTTCACCGTGTGGTACTCGACGTGGTTGTCGTTCATCTCCATGAGCTTGAGCATGACGTCGTCGCCGAGCGACTCGGCCCCGAACGTCTTCGACGGGTACTCGATGTCGGGGATGATGCCGTCCTTGGTCTCGTTAGCGATCCAGCACAGCCAGATGCCCTCGCCCGCCGAGCCGCGGTTCTGCTTGACCACGCGCGGCTGGAACGCCATCGTCTTCTTGAACTGGGTCTCGAGGGTCTCCGCGTCGTAGTACGCGAACGTGTCCACGAGGCCACAGCCCATGTTGGCGATCTTGCAGAGAGCGTCCTTGGCGCCCATCTTCTGCTGGACGCCGGGGCTCGACCAGACGGGCTTGCCCTTGCCGACGAACGCGTTCATCGTCGCGTCGAACTTGGCCTGGACGCCGTCGACGCCCGGGATCTGGGACAGCTGGCCGGGGTTGATGCGGACGATGAGCGCGTCGTACTTCTCGATCGTCGCCTCGAAGCCCGCGTGGTCCGTGTAGTCGTACAGGAGCATGTCGCACGCTCCGCCGGCCTTGATCACGCCGTTCGCGATCGGGATCGAGTCGATGCGGTTCCCGTCCGGGCCCTTGTCCGAGCCGCCGTTCGGGTGGCCGGGGACCTTGAACTGGACGACGGCCAGCGAGTACTTGGCACCCGCCGGCGACGGCAGCAGCGTGTTGTAGCGGACCTTGGACGCCGCGGCCGTGTCGAGCATCTCGAGCGCCTTGATTCCCATGAGATCCGTCAGCTTGCACGCCTCGTAGTAGTCCGCATCCGGCACGTCCGCGAGCGTCTGTCGCCGCCGCAGACGGCC